CTCTTATTCTGAATTTTATTCAGAGTATGCATCATGAGTTTCAGATGAAGGATCTTGGCCCTCTTAAATATTTTATTGGCTTAGAAGTTCAACGCACACAGGATCAGCTTCTTCTTCATCAGACAAAGTATGTTGGTGAACTCATTCATCGGGCCGGTGTGGATACTGCTACCACTGCCCCCACGCCGATACACACTAGTACTTCCACCAATGGGGCCGAAACTCCATTTGCTAATCCTCGGCTCTTCCGCAGTCTTGTTGGTGGTCTTCAATATCTCACTGTTACTCGAACAGATATTTAGTTTGCGGTGAACTATGTTGCTCAAAAAACACATAATCCCACAGAGCAGGACTTTCACACATTGAAGCGCATTCTCCGTTATGTTAAAGGGACCATCACCCATGGTCTTGTTTTTAGTCGGGGGATATGCACCTTCGTGACTCCGATTGGGCTAATGATGATACCGTGGATAGTAGCTCCACGACAGGTTACCTTATCTATCTTGGCAATAATCTTGTTTCTTGGAGCAATAAAAAACAAACGAGGGTGTCCAAATCTTCTACGGAAGCTGAGTACATAGCTCTCTCGGCCGTGACATCAGAAATTATGTGGCTCACATATATTCTAACATATTTTCATGTTGCCACACCACCACCTGTTCTTTTCCAGTGATAATCAGTCTGCAATATGTCTCACGAAGAATCCAGTCTTCCACAAAAAGATGAAGCATGTTGGCACTAACTGTCACTTTGTTCGTGAGCAAGTTATTGATGGCTCTATGGTTGCTGAATACGTTCCCTCAAAATATCAGCTTTCCGATTTTCTTACCAAGCCCCTAACAACATAGCGGTTTCACTTTCTAGTTTCCAAGCTTCCTCTAGCAGCTGCTCGACTCAGCTTGAGGGCGATGTTACATAGAGTATATATACACAAACATAGCTCGAGATGACATGCTTCGGTCAGATGACGCAAAGTTCACCACTGGCTACTACAAAGCTCACCAAAGATAATTAGAAAGCTCACCAAACTCTTAGGAAATGTTCACCATATTTTTTCAACACTTTGAATTTTTTTTAAAATAATCAAAGGGGTGCTGACTAGACTTTGACCATTGACCGTTGACCATCATCGACCACCGCCCCCGCCATCCGCCGGCCGCCGGCGACCTCCGCCGCGCCGCTGCTGACCGGTGGTTGAACGGTGTTGCTATTTTATTTTTAATTATTTTTTTAATTTTCAAAATTAAAAAAAGTGAGTTTTGGTGTTCAAAGTGGTGAGCTTTGCTTTATTTTCAGGTAAGCTTTACATTGGTCATTGGTGAGCTTTGTGTCATCTCACCATAATGTGTCATCTCACTGGAGTAATATATATATATATATATATATATATATATATATATATATATATATATATATATATATATATATATATATATATATATGTATATATATATATGTATGTATATATATGTATGTATGTATATATATATATATATATGTATATATATGTATATATATATATATATATCGGTGGGGTTCTAGTGACACCGGAAAACGGTGCCACTAGCGGTGCCACTACGTTTTTGGGGCACCTCCGGTACTCCGTTCGTAAAATTGACGGTTCCTACTCTCAATGGGTCTATTGTCTCTATATATGAATTACATATATTTATTATGAATACATAATTTAAAAATAAAAATATATTATATACTCTGTAGACGATATGGTTGAAGTATTAAAAATGAAAATGTAAAACACTATTCATAGTTTAAAAGTAAAATTTAAAAGAGAAATGTAACATACATTTTTTTCATTAGGCCGGCCCATTACCTGAAAGATTGAAAGTGGTCGAGACCAGTTGTGATGGATAAACCGGGTCGAATAATCACGGATTGAAAACTGATCCAAAATGGGTCGGTCTCCCGAGGCTTTGCGAAAAACCATTCGAATTACTTTTGAGAAATACTGATGGAATAATGATATTGCTCAAGTAATACGTGAAGGTTTGGTACAATATATATAGAGACAATATACCCATTGGGCTAGACTATCATACAAAGGCCCACCATTTGAATAACTTTATTTACGAAGGACTACTTAGGGAATAAATCTCAATTTTAAAAGACCATGTTAGTAATAAAAATGTACTGGAGTACTAAGGACTGATTTGGAAAAACACGTTGTCCGAGAAGACTATTTTGAGAATTTACTCTTGTTTTACGTAGTATCTAAAAGTAAATATTTAAATAATTATTACTCCCTCTATCCCTAAAAAATTGCCACAGTTTAAGTTTTTTGGTCAAATTGTGTCACTCTTACCCACCAATTAAGATGGTGTTTGACAGTGTGTTGTTTTTAATAATTTAACTTATGTTTTGAGTGGAAGTGATTGTACTCTGTTTGGCATGTCAGCTTCTGCTTTTCACCACCACTGTTTTGTACATAGAACACCATTTCGGAGAAGCAGGTATGTGGTATTTTTACTTTCAGTTTTTGCGGAAATCACTTTATCCATAAGTTAATCACTCTCAAACAACCTCTTAAATATCCTTTAAAATAACTAAATATGATAAAAATTTGATATCTCAAGATTATATTTTAAAATAAATCCTATTTTACTAAATTTACATATAGCTAAATTATTTTTTTCCATAATTCATGATCAAAGAATGTTAGAATTTGACAAAAAAGTCAAACTGTTACAATCTTTTTGGAACGAAGGGAGTAGGATATTTATTTAAATGATAGGATAGGATAGGATATTCCAATAAAAAAAACTTACAATTTTTTATTTAAATAAAAAAAAGGGAGTTAAAATCAACGAAACAGGTTATACCCTCCCAAAAAAGATTTAAATTAAGAGAAATTTACCTAAATAGGACTAAAACATAATGACTTTCCCAATATAGGACAATATGTTTTTATTTCCCAATGTAGGACCTTTGGTCATTATGAAGTAGTCATTATTCAAGTAAATATCCATCAATACTGGACATTATTCTTCCCACTAGGTCATTATTAATTCATATTTAGAGAATAAAAAAGTTTAAGTCCTATATTAGGAAAGTCATTATGTTTTAGTCCTATTTAGTGCAAATTTTACTTAAATTAAACTGATGAAGACGAAGAATGCAGCTTTACCTAAAAATGAGCCAAGAGGTGGGAAAAATTGCATATACACTTGTGGAAATAGAAGTTGACAATTGTTCTTTGCACTCTAGGGCTTTTTGGTTTTTGCCCTTTGGTTTTTACATGATCCCTTGGACTCTTGGAGCATTAAAAATAAATTGCTTATTATTACAAAAAAAATTAACATATTACATATAGTGTAAATTTAACAATATACCATATGAGTTGAAGATGCTTTTAAAGTGTACTTGTCGCATCTTTATTCTCTTTTTTTTTGGTACAAAAATGCATTTGCTGGTACATCTATTTGGTAAAATAATAGCATACACCTATGGTTGCATATACTTTGGTAAATAGAGAATATTTCAAAGAAAATTATTTTGTGATCCTTGGCTCGAAATTCATTTTGTAGACCTTAATATAAGAAATGAGTATATGCATTGGACTTTGTAAAAATGAAGAAATTCAACTATGCGCACATGCAAAATATGCATTGGACTACAATCACAGGACTCAAATTCACACCATTTTAGGATCACAATCACACAACTAATACTCCATATATAAAGAAAATCCATATATAAAGAAAATAGAGCAGAATGTTTATGTACGCTTGTTTATCATTATTTTTGTTCCGACTTTGAAACAACCACCCTTAATATACATATACAACATCATCATATACATACACGGGCCGGGGAACATACGACATGATGAACTCAGATTGAACATCACCACAAAGAGGATAGAGATAAAGGCCATTGCAGTCATCACCATGATGAACCCACATTGAACCATCTTCTCGTCCTCTTATTTATGTAGAGAGGCCAGGCACCGCGAGCTGTGTGTTATATATTTTAGTGTAATTGGAAAAACTATGACCAACGTTATCCTAATAATCATCAACGAAGTTTGGTGGTGCGGAGTGCACGCTTCATTGAGTTTGTTACGATAAAAATCCCGTTACATCGGGGGTTCCAAGGGGACAGTGCCCCTTTGGCGGGGGTTCGGGGGCAGCGCCCCCGAGCAGGGTTCAAGGGGAAAATTTTTTATTTTGGGCTCGGTGCTATGTTAAAAAATTCAATTGGAATTTTAGGGGCTGTTTGTTTCAGCCTCTTAATGGTTCAGATGTCTGAATAGTTCAGCACTTAATGGTTCAGATGTCTGAATGGCTAAGAGATTTGCCTATGAATGGTTAAGTATTATACAGAGTCTGAATGGTTAAGAGCTCTTATCTGAATTGATCAGACATTTGCCTCTGAATAGTTAAGCAATATACTAGCTCTTAATGACTCAGACCTCTTACTGGTTCAGCACTTAATGGTTCAGACCTCTTACTGATTCAGCACTTGGCTATTCAGAAGGTGCCAAACAGCTCCTTAATTTTCGAATTTTCTTTAAAAGAAAACTTCTGATTGGATAGCACCGAATTTTGAAGAACTTCCGCGCGAAGGATCGTGTGACTTGGGAAAGAGACGCGATGGTGTCTTCTCCCTCTACCGCAAGTTTATAAATTCCCGTAGGCCATGGTCGATTTTTAGTTCGGTTTTTCATAGCATTTCTCATATTTCGTTCTTGATACTTTCGAGTTTTATCCGATTGAATTTTGGAGTGAACAACCAAAATATTCAATCTGATAGTATTCTACACGACTCTCGATTCGTCCAAGTTTTCGTCAATTTTCCCAACACCGTGTATGTATATGATGATGTTGTATACGTATATTACTCCCACCCTGATGCAATGGGGTTTACGAGTTACGACATCATTGGCGAAGTACGGTGTTTTTTTATGTACTCCATATATGGTTTTTTACGTTTCCACCTCTTCTGATCATATATAATACTCGTCTCCCAAACTTTCTCAAACTGATTTCTCATCAATTTTAATTAGAGTTGAAAAAGGTAGAAATTTACCAAATTGCCCTTGATATAGTAAATCTATGTGCCCAAGTATGAACACAAAATCATCTGCTTGATACTTCAGCAGCAACATGCTCTGCAATGGCCAAACTTGTAGTCAGGCCTGGCGATTCGATACCAAACAGGTTCACAAGGCCAGGTATGCCATGAAAGTCCTCTCCCTACAAATTAATTAAAAAAAACACACACAAGTTAAAAGGCCTTGGACCCTTTTGAATGTTAATGCTGGAAGAAGTATAGAAAAATATTCAAGAAGGCCCATTTGGTGAGTGCATGAGTTCTAATATCTCTCGATTCCAACAATCTTTTGTGGGTGTTTAGTGAAGCCTATATGAGGTTGAAATTTGATATATCTCGATATCACAACCCTCCCAAATGGGGAGTTTTGGTATCTCCCGAATTTATGAAACATCAATCCGTGGGTTTTGACATCTCTCTCAACCGCTGGCCACCCACCGTCATCTGCCACTCCACCGCCGGCTACTCGCTGCAATCGTCGGCCACCAGTGCCACCGCTTACCATCATTTCAAATCTCTACAAACACTTGTGGTTTAGATTTCAAAACTCATATGGAGCATTATTTTTACAGATTTCAGAAATCATATCATATCAACTCTGCTTCGCTCCCCAAACGGGCGCTCGGTAGTTCATACCTGCACTATAAAATCGGTGAAGCCTTCTTCCGGTCCAGAAAGTTTGGGTCGAATACCAGCATAACCAGGCTTGAGGGTCCCATCCTTTAGGCCAGGGTAGTATTTTCTTATTGCTGGATAGAATTTCTGGTCACGGTCTTCGCGTACCGAATAATCAAACCTAAAAAAATTACATGTGAATAGAATCCCACAATGAAATGTAATAGATATTGAATTTCAAGTGAATGAAGAAAACTTACATATTTAGAAAGTTTGAAACATCGTCAATGCCATCTATCCATTCGACATCAGGGCCAAACTTGACTTGCCCATTTAAATCTAGGGTGACATGAACCCCAAGACCACCGACTTCGGGTATGGGATAAATCAAATGCGCGAACGGATTCTTGGAGGTTGAGAGAGTAAAATAGCAACCGCGGGCAAAATGAGCATTGGGAACGAATCGACCATCCAGTCCACCAAACCGTTTTGCCACGGCTGTTGCACTTAAGCCTGAAGAGTTCACTACCAATCTGGGAATAAGAATAAGTTCTGGGCAGAGCTGAGATTTCCCATTCCAGTCTGAAAGAGTTTTGCTCTCAGAGACATGTATGTGAATTTGATTTCCATCAATGTGGCCACCGATCACCGCAGTGTTGAAGGTGAAAGTTGTGCCATGACTTTCAGCTTCCCCCTAGACCCATTTGGGGTGACATCCCTGTCAATATACACACATATATACAACTCTAAAAGAGTAAACAAAAAAGGCCATATCGTTCTTTAACACCACAATGGCCTCTAGATGACTAAAAACACATTGCGAAAGAGTAAAGAGGAACAAACACAATTCAGCACTTTATAGCCAAAATATCAAACTGGCCCTAAACATTTACATCAACCAACCCAATAAAATCCAAGGAGTTGGGGGGCCACAGGTCTATGCAAACCTTACCCCTACCTAGGAAAGGTAGAGAGATTGTTTACAAGAGATTCTGACTCAAGCACCAAATTAGCCCCAAATATGTGAAAGATGGAAATCTTGGGCACTTATGGAGAAGTAATGCTCAATAAATTTTGCGTGATGACAATCCAATAGCTGGAAAATAAATATCGAATACAAGAGCATACCACTAGTGAGAGCATTAGGGAATGAGTGTCAACTATTCCAGAAGAAGGTGACCATAAGGCTTTAACACAATGCAATTCCGGTTCTACCCTTCTGGCTTCGTAAGCCTCAATGAGCTTGAGACCTTTAACCCCATTTTCAATTCCTCTGGACATCAAAGCACTCAGCTTTGGGATCTCTGAAGAGCTAGTAGCAACAATCATCTTGCCAATCTCTTTATGAGGAACTTCATGAGCTTTGCAGTACTCGTACAGTAGCTCTTTTCCTCTCATGCAAAATCTTGCCTGTTATGTGATTTGGAATGGTGAAGAGGATTGAATTAGAATAACTGGACTAGACTTTAAGCTAAATTATTCAATCGATTAACTTGTTAAACTAGGATCTTTTATTTGTGTTAGAGTCCCACATCGGCTTTGAAGAGAAAAATAATGTGTATATTAGCTCTTGAAATTGACAACAAATCCCTACCCCTTCCTAAATTTTATCAACTAGCATTGACAACGAACGGACTGAAACACATGCCACTAGGAATGAACTTCCAAACAAACAACCAACGTACACCCTCGCGGTTCGCTTGGGGAGTCATCACATTCATAGAGCATATAACATCAACCAAACAAACACATGAATCAAAACAAACTCAAACGCTACAATAGAATTTTAAAATTGGGTAGAAGTTGCTCAACTAGATGATACTCATTTGCAAAAATGAGTTAAATTTCCAAAAACACTCCAACCCAATGTTTTATTAACTGATAGAGTAATAGCAGAATAATTTTTTGTATATTTCTTTTGTGTTCTCCATTGCAAGCAACCTTCCCAATCTTTAAATAGGGTTAATAAGAGAGTGGAAGGGACCTTGAGAGAATGGGGAGGATAGTAGATCCCGGCATGGATGACCTCACTGTTGCGAGAGCTCGTTCCGGTGCCGAAGGTGGGTGCAGAGTCGATGACCAAAACTTCCCTCCCGTGCTTCACAGAAAGCTCACGCGCCACCGCTATGCCCACCACCCCTGCTCCTACTACCACCGCGTCCACTCTTTCTCTCGGCACCGGCCAGTTGCACAGTTCCCCGTAAGAAACTGACCCCATGGCTCTCATGAGACGTTTTCTCTCGTTGACAATCCGGGAGATCTTACGGGCGGCCGATTTGATGTGCTTCATCTCTGTAGCGATTGCTTCAGATTTGGTTTCAGATTTGGTAAGAAAGGAGTGTTGAAGAAATGAAGACTCGAGGGAGAACTTAGAAGGTAGCTGACTTTCTAGTCCAGTCCTAAAACATTGTTCGTGGAATTGGAAAAAAGTAAAACAATTTCTGGCCTTTTCCTAGCTCAAATGGAACAAAATTTATTTATTTTTCTCTTAACTAGTAGTATCCTAGAAGGAAATTATTTTCAAATTTTTACTATAATATTCCCTCCGTTTCAAAAAGATCGTTACATTTCATTTCTTTGCGCATCACAAAAAGCAATGCTACTCACATCTAAAAATTCTAAAATTTACCATATTTACTCTTTATTATAAGATGAAATTGTTTTGAAAGTTTTTTTGGCATTTGAGACGATATAAAAGTATTTTAAGGGATGCGCAAAAAATGAAACGTAACGATCTTTTTGGGACGGAGGGAGTATTTGAGAATTGCTTCGTCAGAGTTTGACAAATAGATAACACATTTGTTCATTTGTTGAGACGTCAACATGCCATGTCATTTTTAGACTATGTTCTGATAAATACTTTTTGTTGTTACGTTTTTACTAGTTATATTTATTCATTTTATAATTTTAATAAAAAATGATGCGTTTTCTATTTTATGCCTTGGTTACCTACCTAATTAAAAATTTATGTTTTTGTCATAACTAAAGCTAATTTGGGGTGATACTTTAATTTAAATATAGGTTTTAAGTACGATTAAATCCAATTTTTTGTCTTATTTAAAGTCAAATTTTTAAGTTAACCAAGTTATAAAAATATAACTTTAAATATAATTTCTTGCGTTATGAAATTTTCATAATTTCTACTCAATAATTTCTAGATGTGATTGCTTCAGAGTTGGTAAGAAAGGACTATTGAAGAAATAAAGACTCGAGGGAGAACTGAGAAGCATCTGACTTTCTAGTCCCGTCCTAACATTGTTCTGGAATTCAAAAAAATTAGAAATAATTTCTCGCCTTTTCCTAGCTCAAATGGAACAAAATTTATTTATTTTTCTCTTAACTAGTATCCTAGAATCAAATTATTTCCAAATATTTATTATAATATTTGAGACTTGATTCAGGAGTTTGACAAATGGATAATATATTTCGTCATTTTTTGACACGTCAATATGTCATGTTATTTGTAAACTAAGTGCTAATAATTACAATTACTTTTTGTTGTTATGTTTTTATTAATTATAATTACACTTTTTATAACTTTAATAAAAGAATGATGTGCTTTCTATTTTATGCATTAGTTAAAAATATATGTTTTTCCATAACTAAAACTAATTTAGAGTGATACCTTAATTTAAACATAAGTTTTAATTACTATTAAATCCAAATTTTTGTCTTATTTAAAGTCAAGTTTTATAGTTTACCAAGCTATAAAAATATAAGTTTAAATATAATTTCATGCATTATGTAATTTTCATAATTTTTACCCGATGATTTTAATAATTCTTGCCTTATATAATTTAAGTAATTTTTACCAGATGATTTTAGGAATTCTTTCCTCATGTGATTTTTGTTAGACTATAATTTACTTTTTTAATATTATTAATCAATTCCTCCGTCTCCCTAAGATCTCTCTTTTTGATCTTTTATGATTTTTAAAGAGGTTGATAAGTGATAAAAGTTTACCAAAATACTCTTAATGAAAGTAGATGACGTGTATTAAATGAGATGATAGATGCGTAATAAATAAAGTGGCATAATAGAGATTTGATACAGGTCATGTGTGAAAATAATACGATAATATCATCTCTAGTTTTGCAAAACTTTTGATTACGTTTTTGAATATGTACTTTTTATTATTTAATTTTACATGAATTGTCATATAAATTGAATTAAAACTAATTTTATTCAAACATTGTAACCGAAGAAAATTTGTGGATGAAGAGACTATTTATTAAAAATTTCATACACTAATAAATATTTCAGTAAAATTAATTAAAATTTGGTACTTTAAATTCTTAAAAATATATATTTTTTGACACAAATTTTCAATAATTCGAGAAAACAACATAATTTATAGATATTTTGGTGTAGTATGATTGAATATATATAATTGATAACACTATATTATTTTACTAAAAAATTAAACACCAAAATTCACGTGCAATTTTTAAGATTAACTGAAATTCGGGAAAAAATAATGTAAATGATAAGTTTTAATTAATAAGTTTTTAAAAAAGTAATTATCATTTTAGAAAAATGAATAAAAAGAAAGGAAGAAAACAATTGAAAATAGAAGAATCAAAAAAAGGAAATAACTATTCCATTCATTTGGAATTCAGATTTGTTTTTAATGTTTTTGACATGTAAAGTTTTTTTATTTCTCACAGTTTTTTTATTTCTCTCCATTTGACGTGCTAGGAGAGAAAAATTATCTCTCCTAACATGTATCAAAAATTATAACATAAAAATGTGAGATTATTTTAGATAATTTTTCAATTTTAAATGACGAAGGCAAGCTTATAATAATGGCATTTATTTTGGCTCGCTTCTCTTATACAGTAAAAAAATTACTCCCTCCGTCCCTAATTATTTGTCACATTTGTATTCCCGAGGTAAAATATTAAGTTTTTTCAATTCATTTTATTTACATATTGGTATAAAAATAAAAAATAAAATTTACATATCAAAAAACTACATGAAAAGTTTTTCGAAATAAGAGGTGTCAAGAATATTTTATTTTATCAAATAACTAATGAAAACGTAGAAATAAATAAAAGTTCTCGCGACTAATGAAAAAGCAAACGTTGCAAATAATTTTGGACGGAGGGTGATGGTGTAAATATAGCGGGGTGGGTTAACCGGGTTTGACCTGGACACACTCGACCCGTAATATAAAACACACAACAAGAACACAAAGTATGACCTAGACCGGGTAAATCTCCTTAGTTCGAATTATATTTCTTACTCTATCTCAAGAGTGAACTTTAGTGAGAGAAAAATTGGATCCCCTCCTCTATCCAATATCATCATATTTATAGAGGAGGATTTGTGACCTTCCCCTGTTCATCCATGGACAAAATAGGAAGCTCGTGGGAAGGTCACTGTAGATAATGGGAACACTGTACAATCATAGAATTTAGCAACTATAGGCCAAGACATGTACTGTTCAATCAAAGACTAAAATGGATATTCTCAATCCAATCAACCCTGCAAAATGACAAACATCCCTTTCACTGTGTGCCTCGTGATGGATGAGCGGCGGGGTGTCCCCTTGACCTCTGACGTGGTTCACCATGCCTAATAGACTGAACCAATGTTAGCCAAGTAAAGTGATATGACCGGTCACCTTCTTCAAAAGTTACCCGGTCATTCTTTGTGCTCAACCCGTCTCTGGTCTTCTAGAATGTCCTTTGTAACATTAGGCGACATTTTGGCTAACGCCCAAAATGTGACCGGTCACTTTTTAGTGGAAGTGACCGGTCAACTTTTGACCCGTCCCAATCGAAGAGTTAACCTCATTTGGTGATTGATAAAAGTGACCGGTCATATTTTGACCTGTCCCTTTCGGTTGTCCGGGTCG